CCCTTCCCGGTTTTCTTCAAATGGTCATTAGCAGGATGTGACATGACTGGGAAAGTCTCTGACAATGATCACAGCAGTCAGGAGGCAGATTTATATGGCAAAAGGCACATAAACCCAAGTAGGTAAAAGGCACTCCCTGTCACTGCAGCTGTTTGACATTCTTTATGACAAATGCTTTGAAACCTCAAAGGGGGCTTAATATTTTCTAAATTATATCTGCATATTGGGAGTTGCTGAAGTGAAAGGAAACAGCCCTGGCCTGGCATGCCTTGGGAAAAAATCCTGGACTTCCTCAGCTTTCTATCTTGATACTGAACAAGCGCATTTTTGCCTTGTCATGCTGCAACTGGCAACTTTCTCAGTGCAAAAAGGAGTGGCCGATTACCGGCTTTCCAACCATCCTGCCTGTGACTACAACTGTCCTCTAATTTCTGGGAGGTGGCTGCAAACTAAGAGCTTGTGTAAGACAAGATACTTAGAGATTATGATATTTAAGGGTATTAATGGTTTTTATAAGGCCTCAAGGGCAGGTCTGCATGCAACGTGGTACCTTTGTCCTAACCTGTACAGTCACTAGAAAGTAAGCCCTTTGATCTCTGTGAGGTTTGATCCAGAATACACCTAAATGGGATGCCTTAGGCCTCGAATAATTGATCCAACAGGATAACTGATAAGACAACCCAGCAAGTGTTGTTTCCCTCATTCACCTTCATTATGTAGGTCCACGTTTCCAGAAAAATTAATTTTATTTCCTTATTTATTTTAAAGATTTACAAGCAGCCTTTCAGGAGAAACCCTCCCAAGACAGTATATACACTGAAACCACAAAACACAGTAAAGCAATGACAACACAAAAAGTGATACAATTTTTAACAATGAAAACCAGTCTAAGCTGCAGCATCCAATAAACTAGTCTAATTATGGGCCGGCATGAAAAGGGAACATTGAAGGCTTACGATGAAAGGTCCCAGTAGTTGTTAACCAAAACCGAGTGCAGACCCCATCCTTGTGCTCACCAGCTTAATTACCCTTGTACAGAAGCATGAACTCTGATCCCGTAAGCAGGGTTTCTGATGAAGTTTGGGATGGTTGGCATGGGCAAAGGTGGTCCTTCAAGAAAACTGGAGCCACTTATTATTTAAAAGGAAAATACTAGCACTTTTAATTGAGCCAGAAAACACAGTAAAAACACTGTACTGTGTACCATAACATAGGGATTGTGTAGTACAGGGAGTAAGACCATTCTTTCTCCTATAATACAGCCTTCAAAGGCTGTTGAATCAGATTCTGGTTCAGAAATGGAGGGTGAATTCACAGCTGAAATACCAAGACAGTCATCAGATAGTTTCAAGTTCTGTCAGAATTTCTAGTAGCATGCTGAGATGGGTGGGATCAGACCTAACATTAATCTAATTATATGGCATCAGATTAAGAGGGCAGAAAAATACTGGGGGGGAAATGAGAAACTGAGAAGTGTCTGATGTGCCACACGATTGGCCCATAAGCAGCACGATCCACCTTGAAGGTGGAGTTGACACATTTTGGTTTGAAAGGAAGGATAGTTACTCAGTTTGGAATCAGCTTTGTGTCATTAAGCCACATTTTCTTATTTAATTCATTTTTATACCACCCAATAGCTGAGGCTTTCAGGCCATTTCCTTAATGGTCAGTATTTTAACTTGACTTGTCTTTAGTTATTCACTTCTGCAATACCCTTCTGCCAAGAAGCCAGCCTGGCTGGTCAATTTTAACATATTAAAGACTTTTAGTTAGAAAACCTTTGTCCTGGTCTGTTTGGAAGGAGAGGGAGAAGACCAGATCTTGTTAGATATGTTGTTGTAAACCATCCTGAGATGTTTGTGAAGGGACGGTATAGAAAAGTTTTAAATAAATACATAAATAGATATGCAGTGTTCAAGATCTGCTCCATGGGTCAATGCAGAGTATTCTGAGTACTTTATTTTAAACATTTTATACTGTCTATATTTTTAAGGATTTATGGACAGTGTACAATCAATCACTGTAACAGGAATACACTAATAAAACAATTCCACAAATCCGTATAATTGTTCTACAACAGAGTCCAATGACTAGGTAATCAAACACCTGCGCTGGAAGGACTGCAGTGGTGGCAGCAGGTGGGCCTGTCTGAGGAAGATGTTCCAGGCAGTCTGTTATTCATATTTCATTATTAATTAACTCCTTGCTACTGTCTGTTTATACTGACTGTTTTTATTGACTTTTGTAAACCACCCAGATAGCTTTGGCTATGGGGCAGTATAGAAATAAAATAAATAATAATACTTGGAAAGACAATAGCTTTTCAAGGTGGCTTAAAATCTAAGAATGATACACTTCAATAAACATTAATATTGTTTGCATTAAGCAGACTATTTGAAAGAAATTCAGGTACAATGAAATACAGTCGCAAAATATCCATGAGCAGGGAATACTGTTAACATTTTCAGTTAAAAGCAAAGAAAAAGATAATGGATAGTATCCAGTGTTAGTCCTATGTAGAGCCATTGAAATGAGTAAGACTTAGTTGTATCTAAATCCCATTCATTTTTATAGGTCTACTTTACATAAGATTAACACTGGATACTACCCAATAAATTTCTGAATGCTTATCAATGCAATGAGAAACAGAGCCTGCCATATGTCTATCAGGAGGGAATTCCATTGGGTAATCCATTGTAGGTTTTACTGAGCCTTCTAGGACTTAATCTGGAGGATACTCGGGAGAAGTAAAGAAGAAATATGTGCTTTGGCTTTTATATCCATTTATTTCCAAATCATAAATGAAGGAAACATGCAGAAACCCAGTGAAAAAGCATTTTAGTCTTCCAGAACACACTGCTGCTGCTCTGGGAGCCATCATTATCCAACAACAGAACTGCATAGGGAGGTATTTGAATGAAACGGAAGTAATGGACAGCATACAAATTTTATAAATAAATAAATAAATATTGCTGACCTAGGCTTTATCTGTAAATTTAATTTATAGGACTCACTCTAGACCAGGGCTTTCCCCCTTGCTATCACAGATGTTCAAAGTGATGCATGGATAAGTATGGTCCTTAACTTATATACAAGTTTTTTTCAGAAAAATGCTGTAGACAGCACTTTTTGGCTTCATCATTTATATTTTCTCCCTGTATTCTTACATACATATGGGAGTGTGGTTGTGTATGTGCCAAGATGGAATAACACTCAAGTGGGCTTTAGTCCATGAAAATGAATGGATGAACATGAATATTTAAGGTTCCATTAGACTGCTTTTATTCTGATGACTATGATTAATTACATTTCTATACTGCCCAATAGCTGAAGCTCTATGGGTGATAAAAAAAACCCTCTCCTATAAAGCAGTTATATTTTATATAAACTGTTCTGTTTCTTTTAGCTGTTCAAATTCCAGTCTTCAGTGTTGGCTCCTAGTGAAGCACTTAATGGGCAGACAGATCTAGTCCCAAGCAGCTTCTGGCTCCAGCCTTCCTGCCAAATAGAACAGGCTCCAAAGATAAAGAACTGCATCTGCAGACATGTCTCCACATCTGCACCCCAGGAGGAGAGCTGAAGCCTGCTATGTATACCCACAAGCAATAGCTGAGGTGGTTAACTGGAAAGGAAGGAGGCAAGGGCTTGGCAAAAGTATTGTAAGGCATAATCCTTTGCCTGTTTAGACAGAACCCCCAGCATGGCTGTTTGGGGAATGCTGGAAGTTGTAGCACATTTCCTGTCCAAACATGCATAGAGTTGTGCCCTTAATAATGCAGTCTTTTCTGAGGAAGCAGGGCTTGTGCAAGCCAATGACAACTGCATCTAGTATCAAGTGTGGATAAACTTAGTTGCTTTACCGGGAAATAGGCCATGTGAAGAAGATGGGATCCAGACTGCCCTTTGCTAATTGCCTTCCCTTTTGTGAAGTGCACAAGGCAAGCACAGAGACTTTTTCCAGTGTAGTCAGCATGATTATGTTCTTTATGATTCAATCATGTCCATGTCTGTACAGAAGTAAATCTCACTAAGTGAAACAGCCTCCAGATCAATGTTGATAGGACTGCAGCCATAGCGCTGAGCTATAGAAAGTGAGATGTTTGTGGAACGCTTCAACAATAAGATTGTTGTTGTCGTTAGTCCCGAAGTCGCGACCCCATGGACATTCCTCCAGGCCTTCCTGTCGTCCACAATCCCCCAGAGTCCACCTAAGCTCACGCCGACTGCTTCAGTGACTCCATCTAGCCACCTCATCCTCTGCCATCCCCTTCTTCTTTTGCTGTCAGTTGTTCCCAGCATTAGGCTCTTCTCCAGGGAGTCCTTCCTTCTCATTAGGTGGCCAAAGTATTTGAGTTTCATCTTCAGTATCTGGCCTTCTAAAGAGCAGTCCTCCAGGACTGACCGGTTTGATCGCCTTGCAGTCCAAGGGACTCGCAGGAATCTTCTCAGCACAATAGAAACCTTGGCTCCTCCTCAAATAACAGTATTTCTAAAATCCCTCAAGAATTAAGTTTATATGGAAAACTGGTGCAGACTGCTATGCATAATTCGATCCAAAGCATGTTCATGCTGCATTTTGAAGGCGGCAATCCTCTCTCGACTTACCTGGTCCAAGCCCCATTGACCTCAACTGGGCTTTCCTTCCAATCAACATTGTATATGATGGCGCTGCATTCAGCGGGCCAAGATCTTCCACTTTCGGGGGACGCCTGCTTCCGGTGTTCGGACTCTCAGCAAGCTGCTTAAACGGCTGTGCCAGGTTTGGAAACCGCACTTGTGTTACTTTGGACGTTACACGAGCGGAAGAAAACAGCAAGTCATGCTGACGTGCAGCTGGCTCCTCGCGGCCTCAAGCCGCTGGGGGAGAGGCAGCTGAGCCGAACCGGGAAGTGAGCGGGGCCGGCGGGCGAGGGAGACGGCGCTGCCAAAAGCCGCGCCCTCGCTTCCGCGCGCCGTCATAAAAGGCGCCCCGCTCACACCACCTGCGCTTCTCCTTGCAGAAGATGGGCAGCCGCTGAGAGTGGCGCTGTCTGAACTCACGATGGAGCCTTCGCTGCCCGTGGTCTTTGTGCGCCAGAACCAGGTCGGAGGCTACCAGAAAACTCTGGAGGTAAGCTGCTTTTCTGAGCGAATGCAGGCACTGCTTTGGGGAAACGAGCTCCGTGGAGTTCGAGGGGTGTTGCTCCACGTAATGGGATGTGGCCTGGGAAGCTCCGCGACCAGGGCGTTTTTCATGCCCCAATCCTTTACGCGTTTGAATAAAACTCATTGGATCTGAGGGGGCTTACTCCTAAGAAGAAATGGGCCGGATAGTCGCATGGGTAGCCCTTTTTCTGACCACGTGGCCTCTGTGCTCTTCCGTTCTGGCACTTGTGACTTGTTTGGGGTCCCCAGACAGGTGTAAATCCCGTGCTAGTAAACTGGAGGGAGGACAGTGTCTCTGGGAAATTTAGGTTGGGAAAGGAGTATACTTTGCGATTTTGAAAGGGAAGTAGGTATTTCAAATCATTGACAAGTTAACTAAAATCACCTTTTTGGCTAATGGGTGGTGTAGTAAATTGTTATGATAATAGTACCAATCAATAATTACTATTAATGATTGTTGATTTGAATGACTATTCCATCAGTTTACATGACCTTTTATAGACTACAAGAGAACAGGCCCCTGCCCCTAGGAGCTTGCAATCTGAAGTTCAGTGTGGGAAGGGGAAAAAGAGGTGCACAAGGACACAGTTGAGTTACATGCACTTAGACTTTGTAACAGGCTGTGATAAAAAGTAGGGCACTGAACATTCAAGGGTTGTGCCAAGGGGAGTAAGGAGAAGGAAGACACTATTCAGGTTTTTGGGGAGGAAGTTCCAGGCATATGGGGTGGTGAGGGCAGAAGGGGTGTCATATTAGAGACCTAGATGAAAAACAAATTGTTGACAAGTGAAATGCCAAGGTGGATGTTTCTTTGGTCCATGATAAAAGTTCTCCATGAAAGTAATTTTAATAGCCATGTGGTACCAGTGTTTTGCAATAACTGGGAGGTGCCAAGACACTTTCAGTCCAGAGACTGAATTCAATTTTGCAGTAGCTCTGGGGTGGGCAGAGCTGAAGGCAAAATGCAGCAGGGCCAAAAATACCAGTATATTTTACCTTAAACCTCTTGCTATCTGTAGCAAAACTTTAGAATGTAACACTTCAATATTTCGAGATGGGGAAATAGTGTCTCAAAAGCCAGGAAACCAGCAGTTATTCAGTGACCAGGGGAAGGGATGTGGCAGTTTGGGGAATCAAGGGGCTTGACTGGAACCTTAAAGGGTCTGGATTTACCTAAGGTCTCTGGATTTGGCCCAGAGACCAGAGGAGGTTAAATGCATCTGTCATAATTCTCATCTGGCTAAGGACTAAATGTGTTCCATAGCAGGCACAATTTGGGCAATTTCAAGCTGTTACGTTTAGTTTAAATGTATACTGATTTGTGTCACATTCTGGGTACCTCTTCTCAAACCCAAACTGCACTTGTAGATTGTTCTGTCATTGGAACCTGGTGAGGGTGGGTAATTGCCTTGGTTAACAAACCATTCAGAACCATGGATTATCTTAGGGTTGTGGGTGGTTTGTTAATGGTGGCGGGTTTTGGCAACTCAGCAGCCTCTCCATTATTTAAGTCACTGTGTCTAAAAATGTCTGTATAAACCAGGTCTTTGTGGTGTCACTCTGAATGTTGTACATGTACCAAGTTGCATTGTGGCCAGTCTGTAGAGCAGCATTTTTGCCACACAGACTCAATCCTTATATCATGTGATTGCTGTCAATGTGGTATTGCTGTTATTTGTTTGTTTAATATATAGGCAGTTCCCAAGTTATGAACATCTGAGTTATGAATAACCCCTACTTATGAACGAACTGCCATGAAGCCTATTTTTTTTTAAATTACTGCAAAAAATGGTCATTACCATAGAGAGAGGGGAAGGAGTAAAAGGGGAGAGAGGGAAGGCCTCCAAAGCATGACTTTTGGCTGTGCCCATCCAGAGAAGGAAATCTCTGTGGCATTTCCTTGCTGCAAAGAGGAAGCACTGGTGAGTTTGGGTGGGGAAAACGCTAGAGATATTTGCAGTTTTCCACTTTGATAAGGATCCTGCTCTCCTAATCCCCACTATGTGGAGGGCTGATTATATGTGATCTGACTTAGATACAAATTTGGCTTAAAGACAAATTTCCATTTTCTCAGGAGTGGAGCCTGTTCATAACCCTGGGGATTGCCTGCATTGGGAAGGCCTCACAAGGCATCTCACAAAGGTGAATGCCTCACAAAGGGAAGGCCTCACAAGGCATCTCACAAAGGTACAATTGAAGTAAACCAAGTGTCAAAAGAATTAACAGCACCTAAAACATTGAGCCTGCATAATAACAGCAGAATTCAATACAATGCAAGAATCTAAATGAAACAGCAACATTTTTAAGGCCAGCTTTAAAAACTTCTAGCAAAAAAACTGTAGGTATTTCCCAGGAGAGCAAGTTCTGATGATGTGAGCCACCTCACCTGTTTCTGATACTTGACATGTAATGGCTCTTGCTAGTATAGCAAAAAGCAATAAATTCTGCTTGGAAGCTTCATATGGTGCAGGTGGTCATTTAAGCAGCCTAACCCCGAACGGTTAAACTTGCCTCTAAAGGTCCAAAACAATGCTTTAAATTGTAGGAAACAAATAGGCAGCCTGTGCAATTAGAGTGTTGGTGTGATAGGATCAGAATGCCTTCCCACACAAGAATCCTGATGGCTGCATTGTGTTGGTTTTTCATCCATAGTATCCTGGTCTTGGAGCCCAGTCCCCTGTCATTATCCCTTGTATTAAACTTTTATGTACCAGACAAGCCCCTCTTTTATTCTCCTACTCATATACCTTTAAAACCAAGTGTGGTCAAGTTGTGTGCCTCTCAGTCTTGTTGCACTGCAACTTCCACATCACACACCTTTGCCTATGCTTGTTGGGGCTGATGGGAGATAAAATCCAGCAACAGTCTAGACAGCTACAAGTTCCCATGTTTTAAATACATGCCAGATCTATTATATAGTTTCTTGCATTTTTATTTGCTTGTGCGTTGAAGTACATTGTCCTTGGATATATATCTAATAAAGAGGGTATTTCAATATCCCAAATAAATAAATAAAATATTATTTGTCGCAACATTAAAGCCTTTTCGGTGTGCCCAGTAGCCATCTATTTATGCTGGACCCCCTTTTTTTTTTTTTTGCTCCTGGTGAAGTCTGGGCCTTGTAAGTATAATATGGATACAATGGCTGACTTCAGTTGGAGGCATATGGAGAAGAAAGGAATGAGTATTGAGAGCTCCAGCTGTCAAAATGCATTTTCTGAAATGTAGATCACCGTTAAAACCGAATAATGGCAGCTAATCTACAGACAGGGATTACAAGCCAAGCTCTCCTGGTGTGTGACATGGCACCATTTCATCTGCATTTCTGGGGCACAAGCTGAAACTCAGACAAAGGAAATGCAGACACACAAGAGGGCATTCTCTGAAGCGGTTGTTCTAGTGTATGTTTATGCAAATATTTCCTTAAAGCCACACGGAGTGAACCACTTTATTGGCCAGTGTTGCCTAGTCTGGCATAATGATTGCCTTCCTGCAGCTGGTGAGTTGTCATATTCCTCCAAACTCTTTCAGGCAAGGGGATCAGGGTTTTACATTCAAGTCTTAGAGCTGGCGCCTTGTGCCTACAGCAATTGTAAATGTAAAGATCAACCTGTGACTGGGAAAGAGTTTCGTGTTAATAGGCTCCTTAAGCTGGTAAACTGGCAATTCAGGTTTGTTAATTATTTGGAGGCACGGATATTTATAAGGTAAATTGTAGCATCAATTAGGGAGACAGTGGAGCGGCCAAAATGTTATTAGATCTTTCCCCATTTGGGAAAGCTTTTATTTCCACAGTTGGCTTTCCTCCTCTGTACTTGGGAGCAGGGAAGTGCAGGGTAAGTATTTACCAGCACTTCTCAGTACAACTGCAGGTGCCAGAAATGTTTGTTAAAACTTGAGATTCTGACCAAGGCATAAAATGTAAATTTACTGTGGAATCGGCTTAGATTTTCCCAATAGGATTTCAGGTGCAGTCTGTACCTTGATTCCAGGAGAAGGTTCCCATAGGTATCTCTGCAGTTGACACTGGTTACTAGCTATTCCTTCCATAGATTCCTGGGGTTAGCTTTCTGCCCTAGGAGTGAATTCTTTGTAGGTCAGCCCCAAATCCAATTAGGTTCCCATTTCCAATGTGCAATGCAAAGAGCAACAACAAGCCTTTGAATGTCACCAAGAAGAATAAGGGATTTCCCTGGGAAGATTTTGACTCTGGATTTGGTAAGTTAAAACTTTTTATACAAAGCAAAGGCATCTGCTGAATCTTTCTAAAAGGAGAAACAAAACTGAACAAACCTTCTTACACTGGGTTGGACATTTGTACCATCCAGTGTTGTGTCAATAGCTATTAAGCCTGATAGTTAAACAGACTTCCCTGAATCAGATGCAGGATGCCACCAAATCTCTCTGCTGTCCTGCCAACAACTGGTAGGGTTATTGCCTTTGAGCCTTGCAGGTAAGCTGCTTAGAGCATCCATTTGACCACTGCGAGCAACAGTATCTTGGATTTGATGGGTCTTTGGACTGGTTTACTAGGGTTTTCTTATGTTTGCATGTTAACATCCTGATGTCTTTAACTGAATCATTCTCTTTCCCAACCTCAGTTGGCTGGCAGTTAGCAGAATGGATGGAATTGTATCAGAATTAATCCAATTTGCCTGTACAAAAGGTGCTGAACTTTCAATGTGAGACACAACACTTTCTATGTTTGCTTGTATAGGTTATACTTCTGGCCAACAATGTTTCCGAAGAGCTGAGGGCACTTGGCTTATTAGATTTTCCCAGTCGTTACTCCTCCCCAGGCAGCTTACATGCCCAAGCTACTTGCATTCAGCAATAGAACTACAAAACATGCTTTCAAATTATTTTATGGGCCTTAAGAAGGAGGGCTATGTTTCTTGGCTACAGTAGTTGCTACTGTAGAAGGATTGCTTGCAGCATTGCTCCCATACAGACATTTGTCCTTTTGTACTGCACACAAGTTGTTTGGCTTCTAGATTGCAGTAGACCAGCCTTCTCCAGCCTGGTGCCCTCTGGATGTGTTGGGCTACAACTTCCAAGCCATCATCTGTGCCATGGCTGTTCTGGCTTCAGATGATAGTTGAACATGTCAGAAGAGTTGGGGATTGCTGCAGCAGGCTATGCATGGGACGGCCCTGGAAGGCTGTTCAAAGATTTCAGTTGATGTGCAGCCCAGTAAGCTGCTGTCTGATATGCTTCTGATCTTGGGATCTAATTACATGAATGGATGAGCATTTTACAGGCTTCCAATGGTAGACTCAGCATAATTCAGTAGTTCGTTTTATGCAGGAACCCAAAAGGACTTTAGCTTTTACATACCTAAGAGATGCGCCCCCCCCCCCCCCCCCCCCCTCTGTTTTTTTTTTTTTTTTTTCTTCTTTATTTTTACAGATAGGATGCAGGGGGGGGGGGGAGTAGGTTAAGTTAAAAGA